AGCATTCGAGGCACTCCAGTCAGTAAATCCTTGTTCCATGAGCCTTTCCTCATCCTCACCCCGTAAATGAAAACCACCAAATATTTTGGGGTAAGAAAAATTCAGTGATCACAACCTCTGTAATAGGTAATCTTTTTTTCTGAGACCCAGGTGTCAGCTGAGGTCATGATATCCTTTGGGGTGTACGTAAAATGAGCTCCAGCTCCCTAACTCACATCCTTTGGGAAACCCAGAGGCAGCACCCAGATTGCTGGACAGGCTTCACCTATGCCCTCAGGAAATATCTAGAGTGTCTAGGACTTTAGACGTTTCTGTCAACTCTGGCTTCAGGTTCCTGTAGCCACGGATTCTTGAATGCCTTGGTGTCATGTGCTGCAACACGTCCTTCTGCCAGGATGAGCCAGGGGAATAGTATAGCACTTTTCTTAACGCCACGCACAGGTCTGTGTCTGGCAGACTTGAGTGTAGATTTGGACATTCCAGCAGAACAGTTCGCATAATAGCTGTGCAAACAATGTCAGCTTGAAATGTAGACATCATGATTTCTTACTAGCTACTTTTCTTGATGTATTACAACCTCATAACACACTGCCTGACCCCTTCTTTTCCTAAAGTCTACTTCCAGCTCTGCTTTTGGGGTTTTCTCCCCTGGGTTTCCCCATCCGTTCTTAATAAAGCTCTGCCCTTTGTTATGCAGACTCATCCTCAAATTCTAGGCAAGTTCAACTTTTCCAAAGATGCAGTAGACTTCAGTCAACAGTGTCATCTATCCCAAGACCATATTCACTCCTTTGTCTTCAAAGTGACTTTAATAAACCACCTTCCTTGGCATCACAGCTATACCTGCTTTTAAGAACTGGCAGAGGTCTTATTACTTCAGCTTTTTTTTTCCTTAATCCTTCTCTCACCCAACTCTGTGGAAGGGAGAATGGAAAAGATGGTTATTTCTCATATAAATTACATCACTCTCTTGAGGGGTCAGGAATAGCTTAATCATTTTGCATTTTAATGAATTTTTTCCTCTGAGATACAATTTCTTAAACCCAATTTTCCTCACTGTAGCTGCTCTTTTTGGGGGAGGGAAATCACTAAATTCTTACTAGGCTTTGTTTTCTCGTTGGCAAAATTGGAAGATTGGAGTACGCATCTCCAGGACCCTTTATTTGTTCGATATTATGTAAACCTTTGACCATAATCATTTAGATTTATTTTGCCTTTAGCAGTTTATGTATGGTTTTCATTTCCAGTGAATAAAAAATTAAGTCACGTACTTTTCTTATTTTGAAGTGAACAGATGAATGAAAACTCTATTATCCTTGTATTTTATTCTCTCTACCTAATTAGTCAATTCTCTAAGGAATGTCTGTTTTAGAACTACAGAATCTTAGTTTGAGACCTAAATGCATCGCTCATAGATGTTTGTTTGAGAACCATTATTAAATCCTTCTGACCTTTATTTTTTTTTAATTGTAAAAGAGAATAGTAAAGACAGCCACCTCATGGGGTTACTGTGAGGAATAAATTAGATTATTTAAGTGAAAAGAATTTGTAGATTGTAAGGTGTCATCAAATGTTAATTCATTTGAAACGATGAAGGAAGTAGAAATTGAGGAAGACAGAGGAGACTTATGTTTTACAGCACATTTTGCATCTCTTTTTTTGTGGAGACAATTTATTGTCTACTAGGGACAAGAATGAATCTTTATCTGATTACATGCACAGAAATATATTGAGAAATATATCGAAATATATTTCAAAATGTTTAACATGAAGCATCATGAATGATGTGGAGGAAAACAATTTCAAAAACTTTAAGGTCCATATTTATTACCACAATCTACCTTGAGACTATTTTTTAATGTAAATAGCCACACAACTTACTACTTTCTGAATCTATGGAATTCGCATTTAGTTTGATCAGGTTTTCTGATGTAAACTGTTATAAATATATATATGCATTCTAATATATATATATATATATAATGTGCAACATGTAATATATAATTGAAAATAAAACATATTCAATGTCTTAATAGAAGAAAATGATTCATATTGCCACAAAACTGATCATTGGTGATGCACCTGCCTCCTGTCTCAGTCATTGGCAGTGTATCACCTCAATGGCAGGAATTGGTTTGTTGGATTTCCATGTACTGCACAGCACAACACTGCACACTTAAGTAAATGTATTGGCATGGAGAAATCTGGAGGAAAATCACAGATGCATGGATTTCTTTTCACTTTTTAAAGTCAGCCTTAACAAGAAATGAAGATCCAGACACTATCAAGTTGCCACATTGTTTCTTATTTTATATGTATCTTCATTCAGTTCTTCAACTGTTAAATTTCACAAAAGTTTAAACTGAAAAACACCAAGTGTCAAAGATAGCTGTTGGAGAAATAAATAGAGTTATAAATTATTGCCTCAATGCAAGAAGACAGTGTTGCCCCGCCCCTGAATGCTTCCTGTCCTTGACGTCCTATGGCACTGCTCAAAGTGACAATGGTGGATTTCCTTTTTATTTTATTTTATTTTATTTTATTTTATTTTATTTTATTTTTTTTATTTTTTTTTTTTTTTATTTTTTTTTATTTATTTTATTATTTTGTTTTGTTTTGTTTTGTTTTGTTTTGTTGTACGCTGTTCAGTTACAGTTGTCTGCATTTTCCCCCCACCACTCCCCCGCACCCTAGCCAAGTTCACCTCCCTCCCTTGCTTCTATCCTCCCCCTTGGTTTTTTCCATGTATCCTTTTTAGCAGTTTCTGCAAATTCTTCCCCCCATTATGCCCTCCTCCTCCCCTCTGGTTACTGTCAGATAGTTCTTAGTTTCAGTGTCTCTGGTTATATTTTGTTTGATTTTTCTTTTATTGATTATGTTCTAGTTAACGGTGAGATCATATGCTATTTGTGCCTCCTAAGTGCCCATCAGTAAATGAGTGAATTGAAAAAGTACGGTATATTTACACAATGGAACACTACACAGCAGAGAGAAAGAAGGAGCAACAGCAGGGATGGAACTGGAGAGCACTGTGCTAAGTGAAATAATCCAGGCGATGAGGGACAGATACCATATGATCCTTTTCTTTCCATAAGTCTTTTTTTAAATATATTTTATTGATTATGCCATTACAGTTGTTCTATTCCCCCCTTCATTCCCCTCCACCCTGCACACCCCCTCCCCCACAATTCCCCCCTTTAGTTTATGACCACATGTCTCAAGTTCTTTAGATTCTATATTTCCCCTACTATTCTTGCTCTCCCCCTATCTATTTTCTACCTACCATCTATGCTACTTATTTTCTGTACCTTCTCCCCCTTATCCTTCTCCCACTCCCCTGCTGCTAACCCTCCATGTGATCTTCATTTCTATGCTTTACTCCTGATCTAGCTGTCCTCTTAGTTTGCTTTTGTTTTAGGTGTGTTTAGAATGGAAGGGCAGATAAAGTGCTTCTCAGATAAGATCAAATTCAAGGAGTTCATCATTACCAAACCCTTATTGTACGAAATGTTAAAGGTACTTATCTAAGAAAAAGAAAATAAAAAAGATGAACAATGAAAGGACAGCAAAATCTTTCCGTAAGTCTTTAAATGGCTTTGCCCCCTGCTTGAGTACTATTCACTATTGTGCCCGTCCAATAGCCTTGCCTGATAGAGCACCCCCAGCTGCCTGAGGTTATCACTCTTCTCCTGCCCAATCTTTTCACCTTCCATTGAAACCATTGTTGTTTTTCTTTTAAACTAATCTTTCTCCAGGACTCTGGAATTTATGCCTTCATACAAAATCAGACACTTGGTTTAATTACTCCTGCGTTCTTTTTCTAATATATACATCTTAACTTTCTTTTCAGTGATTTCTCTTTGGCTAACAAAGGTGTTTTACCCTCTTCAATTAAAAAATGACAGAATTAGAGTACACTCTACATTTTCGTTGGCTTTTCTTCATTGCCCAGTGTGAGCTTTGAGCTTTTTCTTTCTTAAATGTGTGTTTTCTCTTTTTCACAATGTCCATTCAAGATTCTGCCCTGAGTCAATTCACATTTTCCAAAAAGCCAACTATAAGACAGAATTAAAGGTGCAAAAGATTCATTGGGAAATGCTTGTGATGGACCAAGGGGAGAGGGAGCAAGAGTGAGTGGGATGGCCCTTCAGGCTGTGACACAAGCCTTTCACCCCCGAAGGGAGAAAAGAACAGAAGAAAGAGTGCCTATGAAAAGCCTTACATTCCCATGTCATTTGAGGAAACCTCAGCCACACCAAAGGTACATCCAGAGCAAAGAATGTGCCCAGGTCAGGGTGGACTGGCCAGCTCTATACCCCACAGTGCTGGCGGCTGATTGCTCAGTCCACAGGAAACTGAGCACCACACTTATATGGCAGGTACCAGTAACTCTGGTGAACTTAACTTTCTTAAAAGTTAAAAATGATGATTAAACTGTCTTCTCTATATGTTCTGCAAAAGTTATCATTCTTCAGTAGGAACCACCACATCAGCCATCTGTGTCACCTGACTTATATGGTTACAGTCATTCATAAGTTTGTTCTTTTACCAGCAGGGCACAAAGCTCCCCAGTGTTTGTAGCTGCAGAAATTGCCATTCTGTATTCATTTATAAACATGCAAAAGATATATTAAAATTTAAAAACCTGAACAATACATAGTGCTGATATTTGTTGGCGTGCTTAGTGTATGTCAGGCACTGCTCTGAGTATTTTATATGTATGACTTTTTCAAATCTGTATTATTACCCTTTACCGTAGATTCCAATAGTGTTGGTATATAACAGAAGGTGATACAGAGGTGCAGAGAGGTTAATTAAGTCCTATAAGACCACATGGCTAGGAAGTGGCTAAACTAGGGTTCCCACCCATCCCTCTCCAGACCCCACACAGCTAGTATACTTCCTGTACCACTGCTCTGTAAAACAGTGGCAAAATGTTGACCCAATGTCTACTGTAAAGCATACGCATTATGCAGTGATATTTTTCTTCTGTCTTTCAGGTCCTTGCATTCCTAATCCGTGCCATAATGGAGGAACCTGTGAAATCAGTGAAGCATATCGAGGGGACACATTCATAGGCTATGTTTGTAAATGTCCCCGAGGATTTAATGGGATTCACTGTCAGCACAGTAAGTTATCCATGGTCATTGTGCTTTTATTCTTATTGATTACAAATGTACAAGCCATTATCATTCCTGTTTGTAGTAGAATAATAGCATCTTTGAGCAAAGGGCCCGGGCCATGGGCTGCTTCTCTCACACTGAGTACACCGCTTTCCAGCCAAAGTCTCCTGGACGGCCAGTCCTCCCCGTGGCAGGGGGCTCTCCATCTTTTGTTGTCCTTTCCATTAGCATTTAGCCACCCTTGCAAAATGTTGCTCTTTATATTAAAGTGATACCTGTCGCTTTCTTTGGTACTTGCCCGGACACTACATTCTTCAAGTTTCCCAGATGTAATTCCATGAACTAGGTTCAGAGATTATTCCCAGAAAGGAAAACACCCCACCACCCTATCTATAAGCCAGTTTCCTCCTTCTTAACGTAATGGTATTTTTAGCATGAAAATCTTTGACAGTTCAACAAATGTGGTATTTGCACTTCTCTTTTTTTATCCCCATTCTTATTTATCCTGGAAAGTTAAATGAAATATTTCCACTTGTAATGATTTCTTCTCAGAAGTAAAGCTCAACATAAATGCCAAGTGCGTGCGTGGGTCTTTAACTTCCATAAGCTTTCGGGAAGCAGGAAGGCCACAATGGACTGTGCACTGTCAGGGCAGGTTTTTTACAGAGGCCACAACTGCGTTGAGTCTTGATGGAGGGATAAAGTGCTGATCAGAGGGTGGCGAACAGGGGAGTGGATGGCTCATGGTGGGAAGTATGAGGATTGGAGCCCTGAACAGTGGTAATTAAGACCATGATGTCAGGAAGGAGCAGGTCAAAGCTGGATATGTCAGGCAGAACCAGATTTCCAAACACCAGTAAAAAATGCAGTATGTCTCCTGGCTCTGAGACTTTGAAGCATTTTATACTTTTTTGAAGACTTGTCATTACTAGGAGATTATGGAATTCCTGCAGAAGCCTGTTGAAGGACAAAGGGCATTTGTGTTCCTTACAACTCGCATTTGTAATTGTCTCTAAGAGCTCAGATCACCAATGAGGAGCTGAGAGGTTGCTAATTTTCTCAGCTTGGGTCTTGAGTTGCTAAGGCTGATTCCTCCATATGGTAGCATCACTGTTCAGCCTTCATACATGAATACCTCAACATATCCCCAGAAAGATGGAGATGGGAGCCCAAAATCCTGGTTGCCTTACATTTTGTTTACATTCACTGTATCCCATAAAGACAGTGCTACTAACTTATTAACAAAAATACACAGTATGTCAGAGCAGCGCTCAGAGGGAGACAGTCTATCTACCCAACTTGAATTCCTCCATTCAGAGTGGCTAGCATGCAGAACACACACACACACACACACACACACAGAGGAATCCCCCCTTAAAATGGTGATGGAATTTTCAGAATGGGCGGTTGCTCAGAGTCAGGAATTGCACTTAAGGGTCATATCATCCTAATGTTCTCTTTTCTGTGATATAGGATCTCAGGGAGAGGATAAGCGTACACAAAGGCAGATTCTTACTGTCAGGAATTCTTGAGAAGACATGTGGAAGCATCTGGAAGACATGTGTAGACTCTAATGCCACTTAAATATTTCATATTTAGTAGCCCTTTCATCCCAACCTACTGCTGATGTCAGTGTGAAGCTGGGGTTGGTCCTTAAACCAGAGATTGAGAAACTCCAAATCTAAGTTCCAGCTAATAATACCTGTATAACAACGTAAAATTGTTTTCACATCTCTGGGCTTTGTTTTTTTTCATGTTGTGAAGAAATGTGTACTTTCAGTTATCTTTAGTCACCTAGAAGTTCCACTGAAGACACCAAGTCCACATGTGTTTTTCCCAGTGTACGTGAGACTGATTCCCACATATTGGCTGGCTGTGAGTTCTTTCAACAGAACAATCAGGTTTGGAGAAATAGAACAAATCATTCTTGTCCTCATTTTCCACACACAATAAAAACCCAAATTTTTGCTCCCATAGCTTATACCATATTCAAATAAACTCATTAATACAAATAATTGTGTTGAATTTCAAGGCTTATTTTGAAGCATAAAGAAACCCTCCCCATTAACAGCAGCTGATCCCCAACAAAATCTTAAACCCATGGTAGGAATTGCAATGGAAAGCACTAGGCTGAGCACGTCAGTTCAGAACTGGGATTTTGTGGTTCCTGTTCTCTGAAGGGCATCACTATTAGAAGCCACAAAGAATGGAAGGAAAAGAACTGGATTTGGAATCAGAGACCTAGATTTGAGACCTGACCTTTACAGTTATTGGATAAGTGACCTTGAGCCAGTCAAATGACCTTTCTTCAATTGAAGACATATAAATGGAGGAATTAAACGAAAAATAGATTATCTTTGTTTCACACAGGTAAGGAGAGTATTATAACTAAATGGGTGGCTCGCTTACTGTGCAAAGGTTAATAAGCCCTCCTCTTTATAGATGAAATTGAAAAGGATTATATATTGGAAAGGCAGATTTAGAAGTGCTGGGATCCCTGAGAGCTTTTCTAGGTGGGGTAAAACAAAAGTAGCTCTTTTTAAAAAAAGATTTATTTATTTATTTACTTTTTAGAATAAGGAAGGAGAAAGAGAGGGAGAGGAACATCAGTTGTGGTTGCCTTTCATGCGCCCCCTACTGGAGATCTGGCCCACAACCCAGGCATGTGTCCTGACCTAGAATCAAACCAGCAATCCTTTGGTTAGCAGACCCATGCTCAATCCACTGAGCTACAGCAGCCCAGACAAAAATAGCTTCTTTAATCCTTTCTAAGAACTGCTAGATATTTGGGTTTGTTTATCCTGGCAGTAATATTTTTATGCCACAAACATGCTCTAAAACTTTGCTGCTCAAGGTATGGCTATGCATCAGCATTGCCTTGAAGCTTGTTAGAAATAAAGATTATCAGGTGCCACCTCAAACCAACTACAATGATCCCATGTCAACACCCATGCACATTAAAATTTGAGAAATACTTTCCAGGGCTTTTAGTGGCTAAAAGTAATCCTCTCATAGATTAATGTAGCAACTTTTGTGTTCAGTTTCATAGCAATGAAATGCAAGCTCCTATTGTTCTATATTTTTAATAACATCTTTGTCAGTGTTTTGGATTTTAGCCAGTACATATATATTTTCGTGGTAATGAAAATAGCATGAGATTATAACTTTATAAGACTAATAATAATTAGCAGTAGTTTTTATATAGAATTGGCAAATTATACTTTTTCTTAAAATGCCATACAATGATGTGAAACCTATGTACACACATAGGCATATATGAGGTCTATCCAGAAAAAGTCCAGCAGTTGTTAATATAATGAGAATGGTTTCTGTAACATTGCTGTAACCTGGCAGCCAAGGAGAGTGGACTGGAATGCACATGTGTGAACAATGATGACTTCACTGTATTAGTCAGTGGGAGTGGTACATGTCATAGAGTGAGCACGTGTACTGTGTGGCCATCACATTCAAAATGACTGAGCAAGTAGAGCAACAAGTCTGCATCATATTTTGTGTTAAGCTTGAACATTCCTCTGTGGAAACTATTCACATGATTCAGACGGCTGCCACTATGGGCAACTGATGACTGGCACCTTCATCACAACAGCATGCCTGCTTATGCATCATGTCTGGTGTAGAGTTTTTTGGTGAAACATTAAATCACCCAGGTGACTCAGCCCCCCTACAGCTCAGATTGTCACCTTGAAACTTCTGGCTTTTCCCAAAACTAAAATCACCTTTGAAAGGGAAGAGATTTCAGACTCTTGAGGGGATTCAGGAATATATGATGGGACAGCTGATAGTGATTGGGAGAACTGTGTGAGGTCCCAAGGTGCCTACTTTGAAGGGGACTGAGGCATCATTGTCATTAGATACAATGTTTCCTGTATATTGTATCTAATAATTTCCTTCAGTAAACATCTCTACTTTTCATATTACATGGCTGGATACCTTCTGGACAGACCTCGTATATACATGTACGTGTATATTTGTGTATGTGGGTGAGTATAATTATAAGATGTAAGATACAGTATAAAATAAACACCAAAATTGTTCAGAGTGTAGACTTTTCAAAGGCATTTTAAAAAAATCAGTTTTATTTATTTATTTATTTATTTATTTATTTATTTATTTATCTATTTATTACAATTTTATTTATTTAATGGTTGTTCAAGTACAGTTTTCTGTATTTTACTCCCATCCCAGGCCACCCCCAGTGTTCTTCACTTTCCTCCCATTTCCACCCCCCTTAGTTTTTGTCCATATGTCCTTTATACTTGTTCCTGTAAACCCTTCCCCTTTTCCCCTGAAATTTCCTCCCCTCTCCCCTCTGGTCACTGTCATCCTGTTTTCTATTTCAGTGTTATTGGTTATGTTTGGCTTGCTTGTTTGTTATGTTGTTTAGGTTCCTGTTAAAGGTGAGGTCAGATGGTATTTGTCTTTCACCACCTGGCTTATTTCACTCAGCATAATGCTTTCCAGTTCCATCCATGCTATTGCAAAGGGTAGGAGCTCATTCTTTCTTTCTGCTGCATAGAATTTCATTGTGTACATGTACCACAGTTTTTTGGTGCATTCATTTACTGACAGGCACCTGCTTGCCTTCAGCTCTTAGCTATTTTAAATTGTGCTGCTATGAACATTGGGGTACACAGGATCTTTTGGATCGGTGTTTCAGGGTTCTTAGGATATAATCCTAGCAGTGGAATTGCTGGGTCAAAGGCAGATAAATTTTAAGTTTTCTTAGAAAAGTACATACTGTTTTCCACAGTGGTTATACCAATCTGCATTCTAGCCAGCCCCAAATGTGGTTTTCTGTTAGAAGCCACATTTGGGGCTGGTTAGAAGTAATTATATTTTATGTGTTGCCTAGTAACAAATCTAAGGCCTTAAGAAAGGACCATTTCTTCAATACCAGAACTCTTTGCCTCTCTTACTCGGGATTGCTTTCTGTGCCTTCTTCCTCACCTAAAAACAGTTCTGCAGCTTTTGATTCTTTTAGAGAG